TTGTACAGATATTTTTGTTTTAGGCTTGAGAGTTTTTGTTTTTTGGGGGGGGTTTTTTTTTGTTTAGCCATTGGAAAGCTAATTCTAGTCATTAACCTCCTTGGTGGTATGATTATTTTCGCTGAAAGCTTAGGGTACCATTATTTTGCATGGAAATATGTAGTTTTTTATTGTAGGCTGTAATTTTTAGGAATAACTCACTGAAATCTGTCCGAACAAGAGTCTAGTAAACATTCCGGATATGATAAAACTTGAAACACAAAATCATAAATTATAATTTAATAAATAATCATAACAAATAAAATAATAATATATTTAATTCAATAATATAATCAAACCAAAAACACTGAAATTTGAAATACAGAGGCAAATTCGCACATCGCTGAGCAAAGTTGCAAAATCGTTTTCAGTGTCTGATGACGAATTTCCCCACAAATCATTATCACTCAATTCTGCAAGTGGTTCTGATTTACTATCGCTGTTCTCTAGCTGGTCTAAAACCGCTTTTGACATAAAGGGACGCTTTTTGGACGCCGTGGACTTTTCTAAGTTTCCAGGCAGAAAGAACAGTAAAAATTTAGGCAGGGCACAGGACAAAGCAGTAGGGACAAAATGTATGTGAAATGCATTGAAACAGCAATGTTTTACTATATAATAATCATTTTTAAAAAAATGAAATTTTTAAAAAATTTCAAATTTGCCGCCGGTTCCTGCGCCCGTACGTCCCGACGTCACATGGACCGGAACATGGATGCTGGCATCGGCCGGAGGAGATGGCCGGGGACGCTGCAGGGGACACATCACGGGAGCGAAGGACAAGGTAAGTGCTGCAGGGACTCCCTGAGCAACGCCGCATGGTAAAGCCCGAGTGTAGCTCGGGGATACCGCTTGTGGTACTGAAATTTTACCCCGAGCTACACTCGGGAATACCGCCAGGGAGGTTAAAATGTGCTAAAAACACACATTGTGCGTCTTCCAGGTGGTCCCATTGAAATCTGTTGGGGCCTAAACACACAACTCTGTCCCATTAGAAGCTCATATACTGTTTGCTCTTCTACTTCTCAATATTTAGGTGTCCGTTTATGAACCAGCGGTAATAGATCGCTGCTCAGTTCTCCGGCATTCTCGGAGAACACAGTTCTCCTGTGAATGCCTTTTATGAAGCAGTTCTCCGAACGAAGGGGAGAACGGTCTACAAATGCTGGAAAACGGCTGATTTTACTATAATCTTGCGAGATTACAGTAAAAGATCAGTTTACTAAGCAGAGGTAAATTATCTCTGCTTAGTTTTTGGTTCCTCCGATTCTCCAGCTCTGGGCTGGAGAATCTGGAGGGAGAACACAGATCTCCAGTGAAAGGCTGAACATGTTCTCCGCTGATCTCCTGGGTGTCATAAACTGTGAATGACCAGAGAATAGTGGCGATCCTCTGAATCTCAGCTATTCTCTGTGTCATAAACGGACACCTTATTCCTTTAAGGATTGTGAATCTTAGCCAGACCTGCTATTTACCTTGATACACTCTCCTTTGTATGCCTCGTTGAAGCTGGGGCCTGAGTTCAAGATAGAAAGTCGACCAAAGTGTCATTCTCATGACTAACCGGAGTACTGTTACCCTTTACATACTCAGTGATGTGATTGGCCTCAGGTGATACAGAGATGAAACAAATCCTCTTTCGTTACCTGTGCCTGTTTACCTGCAGTCTTCTCTTTTCTACATCTGTTCAAAGTACTGAATTTATAAAGCTTGTAGAGCTGTAAAAAAAAAAAAGATAAAGTTACACTCTGCAGAGCTCATTGCAGAGAGCTCTGAGAGTTGAATGGAGAGAATAGACCCCCCTCTCCCCCCTTTCCACACAGGAACAGAACTGAGGCTGTCAATCTGCTGGAGGTCCCTCCCATCACCATTTTTCTTTTGTTTTCAGGAAAACTTGTCAGAAGTGACTCGTGTTGATAGCAGTGGAACAAAACTGCAGACAGATTGCTCTGGACTGAGTCAAGTACACACTATAGAAGGATATGCTTTGCTCATCATATTTGAGGTTTACAAGCACTTTAAGGGCTCGTTCACACTTGACTGTTTTACCAACTCTTGCCAAATGCCCCTATAGCGTTTGGCAAGCGCTGATCCAACGTTTGCCGAGCGTTTTTAATGCTCGGCAAACGCCGCATGCGCGGTTCAGCAGCGGTTGCTAGGCGTTTGCTGAGCGTTAAAAAGGCCCTACAAATGCCTATAATGAAGTTTGAATGGTGTTACTGCTCCGCACACGCCGGCTGGGCGTTTGCGGAGCGGCACCATAGACTAGAATACGAGGCTTCAACGCCTCCTGACTCGACCAGAGGCGTCTGTTTTGATGCGACGCTAACGCTCCCGTTAGAACAGCACCATGTGCAGAATCGTCCGAGGCGCTTGGAAAGTGGTAAAAATGCTTCCGAAATGCCTCTCTGCCACCTGCACACAACACTAGTGTGAACGTAGCCTAAGCCAGCCATACATAGATTGAAATGTGGATCGATCAGCAGGTACCAGATGAATTTCGATCTTTGAATGGGCACCCTGGTTGCACACAAGTCGATCTGTGGAATGACTTGTGTTAAACCAGCCCATAGGGTTTTTCCCAAATGATTAACACTGCTGGCTATAGCCAGCAACACTAATCATTGCATTCTGCTGGCAGGGAAGGCTGCCCACTGGCAGAATACAATAGCACTGCAGGAGGGATTACAGTCAGTGTTGATGGTGGAATCTAGCCTTGGTGGAAGGAAAGACAATTGCATAATCTATGGCCTGCCTTACTGGGGCTCCCTCATTGGCTGGGCCAGTGGAAGGTGACTGAGGTTAGATTTGAACTAGGGGAAGGTTATAACAAATTAAGACTAGTTAAGGAGAAGCACGCAGAGGAGGACGTCTGACTAAAGGAGGCATACTCTGTGGTCTGCTCCTAGACATGCGTTTTACTGTTGTTGCTTCCTCCGTGATTATCTAGTGCACAGGTGTCAAACTGGTGGCCCTCCAGCTGTTGCCAAACTACAAGTCCCATGAGGCATTGCAAGATTGACAGTTACAAGCATGACTCCCAAAGGCAGAGGCATGATGGGACTTGTAGTTTCACAACAGCTGGAGGGCTGCCAGTTTTGACACCCATGTTGTACATGAACACCCCTGATCTAGGGCCGCATGTGCACACGCCTTACTTTGATGGGCTACACAGGAAAATCTGCTCATGGTTCCACTTGTAACTAGATACTGCAACACTTGGCAAACAAGTAGAGCAATCACTGTATTCGCTCTAAAATTATGCACATTTTAGGTTGATATCAGATGGTCGGCTGTGCTGCTATGGATCCTGTCACTGGCGATTTGTTGAACGCAACTGTGGCAGCATCGCTAAGATGCTGCCTTTTTGTCTATATGGAATTGTGCTCTTTGTATAAGGCAGCAAGCTGTTCCACTTATTAGCAATCTAGAATCTGCAGTGTTCAAGTCAGTGACAGAGCAACAACACACTTAAAGCGAAACCTTACTCACCTTGGATTCAGGGATGTGGCGCCCTGGAGCTCCCCGCCAAGTTGCTGACATCTTCGGGCGGTTGGATTCCTAATTGAAATCACCGGCCATTTTTATTAGCCAGGCAGGGATGACTATACTCCCACTTCAGTCAGATTCTGCATTGCCAAATTTGTACATTGAGCTGTGCCTGCGAGGCTCACTGTACAGAAGCACACAGGCAGGAAGGTAACTTTAATGCAGAAGTGACAAAGCCTGGCTCTTCTGCATTAAAATTTCTTGTCTGTTCGCCTTTTTGAATATTTATCTGAAATTCCACTTTAAAGATTAAGTTCACCTTTGGAACATGTTACATATTCCACCTATTTTTTTAGGGTGTAACCTGTTCCCATAGCCGCACCCGCCACCCTTCCCCGTCCACTCCCATCCAGTAAGGGGGAACAATTCCCCGTATGGGGGGGACGCTTCCCAGTGTGGTCTGTCACTTGAAAACAGTTTGGCCGTGTGGGGCTCCACCTACAAGTCCCAACAGCCTCAGTGGCTGTGGGCTTGTAGTTTTCAATGAACTACCATGGCACTGTGGAGCGCCGTGGTAGTTCATCGAAGCTTCCTGTCCGTATATTTGGTTGCTCGTACATGCCGTACAGCAAGCAGATATTCTGATAGGTCTGCAGGAGTGTAAAAGGAGAGTGCAGCACTAAAAATACAAAAATAAGATTCTATTATAAAGGTATATAGTCCATATAATAAATAAAAACGACATAAAAGGTATAGATGGTTAGCAGTTCAAAGGTGACTTTCCGTGTTCCTAAAATGCCAATTTCCTTGATAAGTCGGTGCTTGTGCATTTAGTTATAGAAGAAATGCACACTCACCGGACGTGCAGTATAAATGTGCATATAGATAAATATCCAGATGTCATCAAGGATCAGGGACAGGTCAGGTGTAGGAGTAACTTCCCTCTAAAAGTGGATGGATCCTGGGGCTTTAAATGATGATCCAGGGACAGCCAGAGCTCCCCTTAAGGAATGGGTGGGTGCAGCTCACAGGGTGTATAGGAGGCTCCCTCTCTGGATACTGGAAGTTATGTGGTTCTGGGTGTCTGAAAATCAATACTTTTCACATGACACTAAAAAGCTGTCTCTCCTATGCTGAAATAAACCCTCATCCAGATCTTGCTACTGAAAACCCCTGTATCAAGGTTTCTTCTTCATTTTATCCCTGGGTACTTCTCTGCGTCTCCAAATCCGGATCCCAGATCTCAATTACTTCCGCCGTCCAGGAGACCTGCACGGCATCAGCAATCTACTGAACTTGTGCAATGCTTTGGACAAAAATAATAAATGCACATTTTTTTACCTGCAAAAAAGTGCATCATTTATTGTCTAAAAGGTGAATTTATATTTTAATCCAGCTGCAAAAGCCTCACTTGTGATTACGATTCTGATTGTAGTTCTTTATATTTACTTTGCAGAAATCTTATACTGACAGTCATGAATCCTGGGGATCGATTTGTCCAGACTTTGCGAAAGCTAGGTTATCCTAAAGCCCCCAAGATGGAAGGAGAAGACTTTGACTGGTTATTTGAAACACCTGATGCCAAAAAATTCCTAGACTGGTTTTGCAGTACTGTATCAGAGCAAAATGTGATGTCTGATGAAAAACTGCAGGCATTTAATGAGATAAAGGACTCTGGCAAAGCTTTCCTGGATGAAAAAGCTTTAGATGAGGTGATGAAAACCTTCAAACCAGCTAACTCGAAAGCCACTGCAAGGGAAGAAGTGGCCATTGGGAAGCTTGAGGAAGAGCTTCAAAGCCTGAAAAACCTAAGAAGTCTGCATATACAAAGGCGCAACAAGCTTCAGATGATGGGATCGGCCAATGTCCACTCACACCTGAAATTCAAGGATAGGGAAGAAGAGGAGGCCAAATCGCTGAACAAAACCCTGAATGCCCTGCAAGTCTCAAGTAATAAGCTGAACCATGAACTGCAGACATTGGTCGAAGGAATTCAAAAGTTGATCTCCTTTTATGCTCCTCAGGAAATGGGTTCTACAGCATCATCTCCAATTTTCCTCTTTCAGGTTCTTCTAGATAAATATTTATCTTGTGAGGAGCAAAGCACCAACGCCTTGACTCTCTTTACTAAAGAACATTTCTTTGAGGGTCTTTCTCGATGTATTGAGGGTTCAGAGAGTGACTTTCAGCTTGTTCAGCTGGATGGAAACAGTGAGACTGACCCTGCCCTTGAGGACAAATGTAAAGAAATGATGAGAATTCAACTGGCGTACATCAGTGCCAAACACAAGCTGATACAAGCAAAGGCCAAGAGAGCAAGTCTGGTGACAGGTCTACAATGGGTGGAAAATAATGCAAGTGCACCCCAGGGTGTGGTAAGTCTAAGGCATATAATGCACATGACACATTTATAAGTATAGTGATGTTCAAAGGTTTCTCAAGATAATGGAAATTGTAATCTAGGTATAGATGTACTTTTGTGCTAGATCATAGTTTGAAACCATGTTAAATATTGTAAATCTACTGGGCCTCAGAACCCCGTACCCAAGGTGATATTTACTGCTACTGTTGCACAGCAAGCCAATGCTACACAGAAGCAGTGAGACAGACTTCCTATAAGGTTGCAGCCTGGTTTATAAATGACTCCCTCAGTTGCTCTAAAGTAGCCCTACCACAGTATAAAACCTGCCCCTATCGCCAGGGAAAGTAAAAATCCTACTTTGCAGTGGGGCTGGACTTGCAGTGCAAGGGTTAAATTCTCATTTAGCTTTCAGGACAGGCAGGAATGGCAGCTTTACTTGCCTGATCCCTAGGCAGCCAGCAGTTCTCTCTCCCCTCCTCCATGCCTTGTCTGTGGATTGTCCCTTGGTGTCCAATGCAGGTCTATGGGCTCTGCATTGGTCTTTATGTCAGAAGACCTGCCATTGTTGAAACGGGGAAGTAGAAACTGCGGGACCACTCTAGAAGTGTGGAAAGAGCCTGCAGGGGATCAGGTTATAAAAACTGATTTTTGCCAGTCCCCTAGACCTAAACAAGCTTGTAATCCTTGCAGTGCGGGAGAAGCCCCACTGCGGGGGGTGCTTTTTACTTTCCTAGAATTTCAGCTTTAAAATAAATCTTATCTGCAGTGATAATTCGGTGTCAGACCTTTGCAAAACTCTGACTGCCAAGGATTGCAGATGTAGGAATAGCAAATACACTTTGAAATTGTCACGTGTACTTGACTAAATTGGTAGCAGTCTAATTTTTACAAAAAAAATTGCATTTAATTTTGTTGATAATGTGCTTGATAAATGTCTTTCTGAGTACATTCAGTATGACTTCATTAGCTCAAGATTCTGGTATCCAGTGTGTGTATGGTGTATGATAGTGCACCCAGCACCTCGAGCATTGCAGACTTTTTTTTTTTAAAGCTGAATTTTACCTATAACAACCTGATAACATATGTTATTTAGCGAGGAACATACATTCCACATTAATAATTATGCTACCAAAAGTAGTGTGTGCTGTAAATTGCGTCCAGCATTGTGCCTGTTTCTTTTCACTGGAGGCTGCCATTCTGCTGAAGCCCAGAGCAGCAGTGAATCTTTAGTCTGTCAGCAGATCGGCCTCTGCAAATTCAGCATAGTAAACTATATCTAAGATCTAAAACCAGGACAAATCTCAATTAGTCACCAAATATACAAATAAAATCAATAAAACAAGTGACGTTCCCGGTCACCATGGTACTACTTCAAACACCCCACCCGGGAAGCTAAAATATATAAACAAATACCCAGCGCCCAAATTTGGTATTCAATCCAAAAGTCCCTAAACACTTTCTGTGAAAGTCCTTCATTCTTCCAAGGTTCTCACCGTGAATATCCGTGTCCTATTCTTATAACACCAAGATGATATGCTCCTCTTCCTTCTTTCATCAAATGTTAACTCCTCATGCAAAATATATATATAAACCGCACACAGTGCATTAACTTTATAAATACAATAAATCAAATATATTACACTCACAGAAAAGTGCTGTAATAGTGCCAAAACTTCACCATGTGCCATCACTCTCAATTTGTAATTTAAAATTCTTTGCTTTGTAAAGGGAGATGAATCTTGTGGATTACTCTATTTTATCGTTCTTCCTCATCCGTGGTAAAAAAATGAGACCACCTGGACTTATGCACTGGATACCATGAAATCCATGGGGTTAAATGTGGAACTTGATTTGTGTTATTTCCAATGTATGCTTTTTATAGGACCCATTGTTTCACTGTGTAAATTAGAGGTATTCTCACTTTTTAGTAGTATGGGATTATTATATCCCTCTGTTTCTCCCCTTTTGTATGCTTGGGTCTATATCTACATCTGTTGTACATCTGTCAACATTATATTTTGTAGGGATTTATCTGCTGTCCTGGCTGAGCTAGCTGATCCTCATTCTGTATGACACACATAGAGGTTGATGCAGCTACGTGTTAGATGGGTGTGGGATCTTCGTATGGAATATCGATTAACCACATTGGGGGGACTATAGGTTACCCATTGGATATAGTTATCACTCTGAGATATATGTCCATGATATTACATCTTGGGTGTGGTTACTCATTCTATATATTGATTAGGACGTAAAGGGTTGGTATAGTTATTACTTATATGGGGATGTCTTATATTCACCACTAGGGGCCATATTTAGATTATGTTCTGATATTTGTATTATATATCAATTCGCCACTAGGGGGCTACGTAGTATGATTATTACGTTTTTAGGTATTCTGTATTTATTTAGGATTGTGTCTTTTATATTTGTAGTACTTGTTATGGAAGGATGCAGTACTGGTTTAAACCCAGTGCCAGTTAGCCCTTTTGAAAGATGGTGATTTCATATCCCGGTGTGGGCGGAAGTGTATTATTTAAGAGCCAGCCGCACATCTGACGCGTACATCCTTTGACAGTCATAATGACGAAACGCGCCAGCCGCTAACCGGAAGTTCAGTTACGGCCATCTTGGTGGAGGTCTGAGGAAGGAGCTGTATATTAGACGCCGATATACACTACTACACTGTAAGCGCTTTTTTTTAATAAAATACATTTGTTTATTTGATTTGCTACACTATGGTCTGCCTATTTTGGTTTGATTGTATGTGACATCGGGGGAGCAGCATATCGGCAGGAGAGAGGACCTTCTGAAGTGTAGCAGATATTTTAATTCCAGGCTTCATACTTTAAATTATCTGAGCAATTTTACCACGGATGAGGAAGAACGATAAAGGAGTAATCCACAAGATTCAAGTGCTAATAATACTTGTGAGCTAATATGGTGATAATCAAAAATGTGCTATATTAATCAATCATAAAAAAACAAAAAATAAATACACATGTGGTTCGCTAGCTCAATACACTAACTCATAAACAGTGCCAAAATATCTTAAAAAAATTATTAGTGCTGCACCCTGTGTTATTTACCCATACTAAAATGTGATAGTAAATGAATAAATAATATCAAACTAATACAATTTTATGATTAATGTGCATGTGCAAATGGTGTTGGGGAGGAAAAAAAAAAAAATTTTCAATATGATAAACAATTGTGATCTCCAGAAATGTCTGTATGCAATGAACAGTCCTCTTGAGAGATGGGAGAAACCTGTGATAGTCAATAAGTGGACAATACCAATAAATACTGCTCTATTATGCACACTCACCTCCTTGTTAGCCCAAAATATTAGGCTAAAATCGCTTTTGTCCTAAAGGACAGATGTAACTAATCATGCTCCAAACAGTCCTTCAAGGGTAATTCCTCATAGTATATGAATATTCCACCTGATGGTTCTCCAAATATATGCTCACTGTGCTGGATGAGAATGGATGGATGGATGGATGTCTCACCTCCAGGGATCTATCTCTCCTCTTATCCCTTCCAGAACTCCACATACATGTTTGCCAAAAGAAAAGAAGAAGAAATGGTGCATTATCCTTTAAAAACACTTTAATATGTCAATACAGGTCCCACTCACATTTTGAACAATAAAACCATGCCTCTAGTAATCAGCCTCTGTGTCCACAAGATTCATCTCCCTTTACAAAGCAAAGAATTTTAATTGGAGGGTAAGAGTAGAAATTACGGATTGGGAGTGATGGCACATGGTGAAGTTTTGGCACGATTATAGCACTTTTATGTGAGTGTAATATATTTGATTTATTGTATTTATAAAGTTAATGCACTGTGTGTGCGATGTCTGAAGAGGAGCACGTCATCTTGGTGTTTATAAGGATAGGACACGCAAATATTCATGGTGAGAACCTTGGAAGAATGAAGGACTTATAGTATGAACGTTCACAGAATGTGTTTTAAGGACTTTTGGTTTGAATACCAATTTAGACACTGGGTATTTGTTTATAAATTCAGCATAGTGCCTAAAAATAGAGAGCAACAGAGCATAGGGACGTGATTTAAAAAAAGAAAAATGTGAATTTCTGCAGTGCCTTGCATCTTTTTAGTAAGACAATGAAAAGGGCAAGGGTGACAAGCAAAGTGCAGTTAGCGATCGACAACAGGTATAACACAGGTTGCTGCCGTGTTTTCGAAAGGGTTGTCCCCTGTGATAAAGGGGTTAAAACAAGACGTTACTAAAGATGGATTAATATCTTGCCATCTCTGCCAGGATTTTTCATTAATATCCGTGAAAATGCATGTTAAAATACGTTCTTGCATGTTTTCAACATTTTTTTTTTTTTTTTTTTTCTATTGAGTGTTAACACACATCATGACTTTCATGGGCATGTGTCTTGATGTGCTGATATGCACTTTTGATGTTTAAGTGCATGCACTCTCTTATATCACGCCTCGGCTACTGTAACTCCCTCCTCATCGGCTTACTCCACTGCAGGCTATCCTCGCTTCAGTCCATCTTGAATGCTGCTGCCAGACTCATCCACCTTACTAACCGCTCCGTATCAGCCCCCCCTCTGCCAATCCCTCCACTGGCTTCCGATTGCCAAACGGATAAAATTCAAACCGCTAACGTTGATGTACAAAGCTGTTCATAATACTGCCCCAAACTACATCACCGATCTTGTCTCCAAATACCACCCAAAGCGTACTCTCCGCTCCTCACAAGACCTCCTACTGTCAAGCTCCCTGGTCTCCTCCTCCCATGCCCGTCTCCAGGACTTCTCCACGGCTTCCCCCATCCTCTGGAACTCACTACCCCAATCCATCAGACTATCACCTACTCTGCTCACCTTTAGGCGCACTCTGAAAACCTATCTATTCAGGGAAGCCTACCCCGCCCTCAGCTAATTACAGAACTCCACTCTTCCTACCACTCCATCCCCCACAGCTATCTCCTCCTGTACCACTATACCCTCCCTCCTAGATTGTAAGCTCCAAGGAGCAGGGCCCTCGAACCCTCGTGTATTGAACTGTATTGTTGCTGTATTGTCTTTTGTATTGTCTCCCACCTTAATGGAAAGCGCTGAGAAAACTGCGGCGCTATATAAATCCTGTATAATAATAAGTGAGTTTCAGTGAAAAATTGCATCAAGCCACAAAGTGTGGATCCAGCCCAAACAATGGATACATGACCTTTGCATTCCAGTTTTAAATCCTCTCACATGCTGCTAGTGATTGCACACAAACACATGTAAAGAATAATTTGTTTGGACTACTTTTATAACCTATTCTGTATGAAGCTATAAGCATTCTAGTCAGAAAGCGTAATTGCCAAAGGTATACACCACACAGCTGAGCCCAGAATTTATGGTCTGATGGCATTTCCACAGATCCATCAGCAATGTTAACTAGCTGAAAAGTAATTGCTCTTTTATAGTCTATTTACCAGAGAGCTATAAATCTGACTGCATTGTTTGGTATTATTGGTTGAAATCCTAATACTCTGTTTTATGAGGGTAATACAGCATTTAATGTGCTTTACAATTTAGAAAGCTCTTAATGTATGTGGACACATTCCAGAGGTTCAACATCACAATGGCACTGAATGAAAAAAGCAACCGGGTCCACCTCTATCAGATGACTGCAAATCAGTTACTCTGAATTACCCTTGCTGCTTGATATACATCATTGCATAGCCTTCTATTCCCATCATCTAAAAGAGGGGTGGGCAACTGTGGCCCTCCAGCTGTTGGTGAACTACAAGTCCCATCACTCCTCTGCCTTTGGGAGTCATGCTTGTAACTGTCAGTTTTGCAATGCCTCATGGGACTTGTAGTTCTACAACAGCTGGAGGGCCACAGTTGCCCACCCCTGATCTAAAAGGAGGAATGAGCAATGATCATAAGTGAATGCCTTTGGTCATATTATGTAGAACTATTATGTTCAACTTTCTGGCAGCCTCTTGAACCGAAACTAAATGCTTAAAAAATATAAATAAATATAAAAAGCAGCATCGCTGGTAAATCTAAATACAGTAATACCTCGGTTTATGAATTTAATTCGTTCTGCAGGACTATTCGTATAGCCAACAATTTATAAACCGAAATGTCGTTTCCCTTAGGAATGCAAAACCAATTTAATCCGTTCCGGAGATCAGAAAAAAGTAACTCTACTAAAATACTGCATGAGTTATTTTATCAAGTCATGCGGTATTTTAGTAGTGACAACCATGTGTTAATGTTTCAGCCATCAGCAGGGTTCCCCACTGACAGCTGAATGTAAAAGAATTGTCGACAATTAAAAAAATAATAATTTAAAAAACGGCGTGGGGTCCCCCCTCCCATCATTCCAAGCCCTTCGTGTCTGGTATGGATTTTGAGGGGAACTCCCACGCCAAAATTCTTTTTAAAACAACTGCGTGGGGGTCCCCCCAAATCCATACCAGACCTTTATCCAAGCATGCAGCCTGGGAAAGGGGGGGACCTTGCCCCCTTGTTGATGTAAAAAAAAATAAAACTACTTTTTATAGGTGCTGTTGCTGATTATTATTATATATTTTTTTTTTTTTTTATGAAGGATGTCAACAAAGACAAACTAAAGGTCCGTATTGCAAGTTTAAAGGAAGAGTCAACCCAGATTGAGAGCCATATTGCTGCCACTAACAGAGACACTTTGCCAGTGCTGGTTCGGGAGAGCGCCCAGTTGCTGAATATGCCAATTGTGAAAGGAGACTACGATGTGCAGATTGCCCATCACAATCTATACCTATCAAGGCAGGACTTGGTATGTGATCATCTGATGAAGCAGAAGGCCTCCTTTGAGCTCCTCCAGCTGGGATACGAATTAGAACTGAGGAAACAAAGAAATGTCAACCAGCAATTGCAGATGATGATCCAAGACCTGAAACAAAATGCAGAAAAACTGGAGACAAGGCTACTGATGATGTCTGACGACACTTTGTTGTTGGCAGACAAACCCAGGACTAACATTGACTCTAAAGACACATCTGCTCATGGGTATGTATATGATTTACTACCTTCTACATAGTTGCTATTTGTTGTATTTTGGGATTATTCTATGCCATAGGAAAGGAAAATGGAGCTCAAGAACATAAAAAATAAAATGTAAAAATTTCCAAATAGTGACTTTCTATCAAAATCGCAAAGTAGGCTATGGAAGAGAGAGAGCATAAAATAGAAGAGGAGAAAGTAGCAAAGGCAAAAAAGTCACTTCAGTCCCTTGGTTTATCTGAACCCTAACATGAACTTCTTGTATTTGCTCCTTTTTAGTGCTAATAGCTATACAGTTGAAAGCGTTTTTTTAGGTGTGTGTATGTGCGGGGGAAAAAAAAAAAGAAAATCCAGTGAGCTTGTAAATTTCTGTGCTCTCTGCCTGTGCTGCACAGAATTCTCAAGCAGTGTTTTTAGCCCTGCTACCTTCTCTTCTGTGGACTACAAGCGTTTTTTGTTTTTTTCTGCCAAACTGCTGCCAGGAGGAAAGGCATTTAGAAGAGCTTGGCAAATGCCCTGTGTACATGGGGCTACCATTCAAAGCATGCCTTAACCACTTGTCCTCCCAGTGGATTTACCCCCCTCCTGACCAGGCCATTTTTTGCTTTACATTAACTGACATGCAACACTGCAACCAAATGAAATTTATGTCTCCCCCCCCGAGTTGAGCTTTCTTTCTGTGGTAATTGATCGCATGTGCGTGTAGTTTTTTTTGTTTGTTTTTTAATTTTCTGTTATGAAAAAAAATATACAAATTGGGGGGAAAAAACAGTATTTTTGACTTTTTGCTATTAAACATGTCCAGTAAAAAAATTTTGAAAATCAAATTTGGGCCAAAATGTATTCTGATACGTGTCGGTGTGTGTGTGTGTGTGTGTGTGTGTGTGTGTGTGTGTGTGTGTGTGTGTCAGGGTGGATTTGATTTAAATCACTAGTCAGTAAGGCTTGATTTTAAATCCTAGTTTTCTACATAAAGACTAATTCTTGCTGGTATAACTTTAATATGCAAGTAGATGAAGATTTTTAGAATAACTTTTCATATTAGTTTTTTTATCCCCAGTTTAATAGGTTAATCATTCATATTTGGACAACTTTTCTGTTGTACTTAGGAAGGAGAAAAATAATCATTACCTTAATAACAATTTAAATAGATTTATTCAACTGAAACAATAACATTCCAGCATATATTATTTGCTTAAACAAACATCCATGTTTGTTAACTAATTTGGCTAAACAAAATCTATATATTTTAAGAAACTTAGACTGTCAGCCCCTTCCTCCTCCTCACACTTAGTTTCACTTTCTTCTTGTGCAGATCTATTCCACTCCAAACAATCAGAAAAATATTGTTTCTATTCTATTCACTGAACTTCTTGAAACTTAGCACTGAAGGGGTTGATTCTGTATTCATAGGTTTGTAGAAGTTAGGATGAAGGTCTTTTTCTTAACTCTGTTCATGTTATAACATTTTTGCTGTGAAGAAGAGGCATGTGATCTCTGCTGAGTCAAATTCAGCTTTGAGAACTGCAAAAGTAAACCAATCATCTGTGATAATATCTTGTAGGCAGAGAAACTGCCCAATAATCTTACAAAAACCTCTGGAAGAGCATGACATTGTGAATGGACTCATGGAATTTATTTACCAAAAACATTAAACATATACAGCCTTATTCTACATAATTTAAAAAACTAATCTTTATTTCATGATGGAATAACCTTTGGATGGTAATATATTTTCCTCCAAAAAGCATTTTATTTAAAAAAAATCTGATTTAAATCAAAAAAATCCAATTTTGTTGATTTTTATCACCCTGGTGTATATATGTGTGTGTGTGTGTGTGTGTGTGTATATGTATATGTATGTGTGTGTATATATATATATATATATATATATATATATATATATATATATATATATATAAAAAATTAATAGCAGTGATCAACGACTTTATAGTCAGACTGCAGCGGACCTTCTGACACTGGGGGGAACTGACTTGGTGTCACTGACATCCCCATGACACCAATACAGTGCTAAAAAAAAAAGCACTGACACTACTAATGGCACTGGGCAGGAAGGGGTTAACTTCTGTGTGCTGTTTTACTTGTGCTGTGTCCGTGTGTTTCACTGCTATGCACGGCCATCCAAAGCAGTGTGCATGAGCTGACAGGGAGGAGAACTTTTTAGTTTACAAACAGTTCTCCCCGTCGGAGATGCCGGGCGCCAGCAAATAATCACCGGCCGGGACCTGGTGGTTGACAGCTGTGGCTGCCAATAATAGGGCCTCCTACCCAGAAATGCAAAATCACGTGTGTACCTGATTTTGCGCACCTGTGCCGCCCTTTAGCAGTATTTCTGCTATAGGGTGGTCGGGAAGCTATTTAAATAGAACGGTTTTGGGGAACCGTTAAATTGATGGGTTTAGCTCCACTTTTAAAGTAAGGAAAATACATGCAAATGAGAAGCCTGTGTGGCTGGTTTAGAAGATTTGCATTAGCGGCCCTTCCAGCTCCAGAAAGACAAATCCTAAAGTGACTGTAAAGGCTCAAGGTTTTTTACTTTTGTGAATTCTTTGCCTGAAGATAAAAAAACATTCTATATGCAGCATCCCCCCTTATACTCGCATGAGCCCCATCGTGATCCAGCAATGTGCACGAGATCCTCAGCTCTCCAAGGACTCTCCCTCCTCATGGGCTGAGACAGCAGCAAGACCCAGTGGCTCCCACTGCTGTCATTTAGCCAGCGAGCCAATAAGATAGAGAGGACAGAGCCGAGCCACGGCTTTGTGTGAATGGACACGCAGAACAGCTTTGGGAGCAAGCCTGTTTGGGTGCCCCCAAAGCAAGCTGCTTGCTCTGGGGGCACTAGGCAGGAGGGAGGGCCAGGAGCACTGGTAGAGATTTGCAGATTATATATGCAAAACCACTGCACAGAGCAGGTAAGTATGATGTGTGTTAATTGAAAAAATAAATTTCCTTTAGCATCCCCATAATGGCATGTAGGAAGAGATCAAAAATGTTCTACTTTTTTTTTTTTTTTTTTTTTTTTTTTTTTTTAATGTGACCTATAAAACTGTACAACTCAACTGAAAAACAAAGTGAAATCTTTTAGGAAGGGGAAGTAAACAGAAAAACTAAAATAATGTGGTTGCATAAGTGTGCACACCCTCTTATAACTGGGGATGTAGCTGTGTTCAGAATTAAGCACTCACATTCAAAATCATGTTAAATAGGAGTCCGTACACACCTGCCATGATTTTAATATGCCTCTTATTAACCCCAAATAAAGTTCAGCTGTTCTAGTAGGTCTTTCCTGATATTTTCTTAGTCGCATCCTACAGCAAAATCCATGGTCTGCAGAGAGCTTCCAAAGCATCAGATGGATCTCATTGTTAAAAGGTATTAGTCAGCAGACGGGTACAAAAGAATTTCCAAGGCATTAGCTATACCATGGAACACAGTGCAGACAGTCACCAAGTGGAGAAAATATGGCGCAACAGTGATATTACCAAGAACTGGACGTCCCTCCAAAATTAGTGAAAAGACGAGAAGAAAACTGGTCTGGGAGGCTGCCAAGATGCCTATACCAACATTAATCTGTTGCTGCCAGCCTATAGCCAGATGGCGGCCGGGCAAGCAGCTCGTCCCTCCGGGTGGATGCCTTATGGCATCCTTTCAGGTATGTGCAGTTTGCCTGCCCGCAGAGCCGTGCAGCGGTGCGATCTGTCACCGGCCGTGTACCTTGGACACGGCTGATGACAGATCTGTGTACCAGCCCCGTTGCCAGTACCATGTGACCTGCTGTGACCAATCACAGTAGGTCACATTGACAGTTGTATACAATGGATGGCTTCCTTTCATACCATCCATTGTATACAAGTGTGTCTAGCTGTGAATGGTCACAGCGATCACATGCACAAGCTGAGCCAATCACAGCCCAACTGTGTCATGTGATTAGCCGTGGCCAAATCACAGTTAAGAAAAAAATCCTGAATGAATTGATTTTATTTAGGTAAATGCTTGCTTATAGCAAAGTAATTCTCTGTTATAAGCAAATTGTGTATATAAAAAAAGAAACCGAAAAATCTGATCACTTCCCCAAAGTAGTACAATGTTACTATGGTAACATACTACTTTGGTCATAGTGAAATATGAAAAAAAAATCTTAAAGAGAAAAAAAGTAAATAATAAAAAAAAATTTTAAAAAAATTATACATTTTTCTTTTCTTTTTTATCACCAGTCAGTGTCCCTGATCACCGCCATGCCAGTTATATGATGACGCTGTACTGCACTGGTGACAGTATGTAAAAACAAATAGTGAAAATCATTTTTTTTTTTCTTTTCCGAAAAATTATGGCAAAAAAATTACAACTTAAAAAAACTCGCCATGCCTGTTATGAAATACGTCGGACTGTCTACTTTGCAAAAAGGGGTCATTTGGGGGATATCTGTACTGTTCTGACATTCTTGGACCTCAAGAAATTAGATTGGCCATCAGTACTTCAGGATTGATCAATATTCAGATCTATACCATAGTTTGTGAACTCTATAACTTTCCTACAAACTAAATAATAAATACTGATTTTGGTTATTTTCACCAAAGACATGTAGCAGAATACATTTTGGTCTAAATTTATGAAGAACAATTATTTATTTGCAAACTTTTGTAACAGAAACAAAGAAAAATGTGTTTTTTGGGGTTTTTTTTCAGAGTTTTTGGTCTTTTTTTGTTTAGCAAAAAATAAAAACCCCGGCGGTGATTAAATACCACCAAAAGAAAGCTGTAGTTGTGTGAAGAAAATGATAAAATTTTAGTTTGGGTACAATGTTGTATGACCGCGCAATTGTCATTCAATGTGTGTGAGCGCTGAAACCTGAAAATTGGCCTGGGCAGGAAGGGGGTAAAAGTGCCTGGTATGGAAATGGTTAAAGGAGCTGCAGGAATATCTGGAAAGTACTGGCTGTGTGGTATATTTATTTCAGGTATTTTATATAGTGCCGTCAATTTATGCAGCGCTTTACACATATATTGTACATTCACAGCAGTTCCTAACCCTCAAGGGGCGTACAATCTAAGGTACATCTGACAACAATCTCCAGTATTCTTCATATGTCTGGACTATGGGGTAGAGCAAGATGGAAGCCTTTTCTTACAAAGAAATACCCGAGCCCGGCTAAATTTTGCAAAAACACATCTGAAGTCTCCCAAAAGCATGAGGAAAAATGTGTTATGGTCTGATGAAGCCAAGGTTGAACTTTCTGGCCATAATTCCAAAAATTGTTTGCTGCAAGAATACTGCACATCACCAGAAGAACACCATACCCACAGTGAAGCATGGTGGTGGCAGCATCCTGCTTTGGGGCTGTTTTTCTTCAGCTGGAACTGGGGCCTTAGTCAAGGAAGAGGGAATTATGAACAGTTCCAAATACCAGTCAATATTGGCACAAAACCTTCAGGCTTCTGCTAGGAAGCTGAACATGAAGAGGAACTTCATCTTTCAGCATGACAACGACTCAAAGCATACATCCAAATCAACAAAGGAATGGCTTCATCAGAAGTGATAGTTTTGGAATGGCCCAGCCAGAGCCCAGACCTGAATCCGATGGAAAATCTGTGGGGTGATCTGAAGAGGGCTGTGCACAGGAGATGCCCTCGCAATCTGACAGATTTGGAGTGTTTTTGCAAGGAAGAGCGAGCAAATATTGCCAAGTCAAGATGTGCCATGCTGATAGACTCATACCCAAAAAGACTGAGTGCTGGAGTCAAATCAAAAGGTGCTTCAACAAAGGATTATTTTTAGGCTGTGCACACTTATGCAACTATATTGTTTGGTTTTTTTCTTCTTTTTCTTCCACCTAAAAAGATTTCAGTTTGTTCAACTGTTTTTATAGGTTACATTAAAGGTGGGAAAGTTCTGAAATGTATTTTTTTTTTTTTTTTTTTTTTTTTTTTTTTTTTACATCAGAAACCTGACATTTTAGCGAGTGTGTAGCCTTTTTATACCCACTGTACATATGGTGGTATAGATGTGGTTAAACAGCAATTTTGGTTTGTGGTGCTCAGATAAAGTGTAGGTTAATTTTAAAGTCTAAGACGTGTGTGTGTAAATATGCAAATTTAAAATATATATACCACACCTAAAGAAATCAAAGTACGGTTAAAATGTAGTTGACATTTCTAGGCCTTCTGTATTGCAGGTTATTCCAGCTTCTGGACGGCGATAACACCCAGAAACTGTTCAGAACGTACAGCGGCTTGGAGTCTGTTGCTCTGAAATTGTCCCAGGAAATCCACACTGTAAAAAATCAGCTGGCTGTTTGTGAGCAAGAACAGTCCCATCTCCTGTCAAAGCTGGAGGCTAATATGAAATCACTGCAAGATTTTATGTATCCTGATGGGAGCGAATTAATGCTGCAAACACCAGTAAGTTACAATTACAGGAAAGAGATTTTATGAAATGGTTATTGTACACCTTCAACACTAAAGATGCAGTGCGAACTCCAAATTTAGGATAAAATTTTAAATCCATCCATCAAATTGGCAACATGAGTCCAATCAATTGGTGAAAGATTAAAAAAAAAAGTCACTAATCCTTTAGAAGGTCCCCGATGTATGATCTTGAGAAAGTTGGTGTTCCCAGAAGTGGAGAAAGGGAGGAAAACTAAAATCCACCACTACGCCAAACAAGCTGCCTCTTACCAGATGGTTTGAATGCCCATCAGGAACAGTCAAAATGCGCAGTATAAATATCACAGTAGAATCTCCACCTCTGATCTCATTGATGCCACTCTCAATATGGATCGTCTCCAACCAGATAAATAACGATGGACCAGAGTGCATGAATCAAAACAGACTTTTCCCTTACTGTTATTACATGCATTTCCATCACCTTGTTGGATTTTTGGTTTATTTTATGATTGACTAAAAGTAGTGAGACTACAAGCTGGGTGGGAGCAGCTGTATTGGTTATTTTAAAGCATATCTATGACCAAAAATTTCACATTTTGTATTTTAGTGATTACTAGCCTACTTCTATTACTCTTGAAGTTGTAAACTTCACAGGTTTGCTTCCTTGAGTTCTGTGGC